GGTCTTTTGTCACAATATAAATATCTTACTAGGCAATGTATAAAGTCTGTTCTTTCTCAGATATTCATAAGCTTAATAGCAACCAGGCATCTGTTTTTCTGTAGGTTTGTTTAGCACACTGCATTATGCCAGACAATTTGCCCATTTCTGTCTAGCCTAACCTGCAGAAGACCTTCATCAAAGGCACAAATAGGGTGGTCTGTCCCATCACAACTTCGTGGATCCTTCTTGTTACAGATATCGAAGGCTCTACCACCAAGCAGGGACTTCTGCCATTTGTATAGGCGGTCCCTGAGTTACAAACATCCAACTTACACCCAACTCATGGTTAAGAACTGGGAATGAGACAACAGGAAGTGAAGGAAATCTGTCCCTTGGAAGGGAAATTTACTCCTGAAAGCATTATTATAGGGTAAAGGTGTCTCCACTGAAACTTTCTCACCAATACTTGTTTCCACAACAAGCCATTTTTTTCAAAATCCAGTGATCACAGGGACAGAAAGTGAGGCAAAATCTTCTGAACAGGGACACAGCAAATGCCACAGGGGCGTTAGCCTTTCTCTATGCCAGAGGTTCTCAACCTGTGGATCCCCAGATGTTGATGTTGGTTCTCGTGTGTGTAGTGAGTAGTGATGTTGAAGCATTTCCCCATCCTTTGTAGCGTGTGGTTTTGGTGAGCACATGCTTGTAAGCTTTGTGGAATATCATTGAGGTCTTGACTGGCTTGACTTGATCTCAGTCTTGTGGTGGATGATGCTACCAAGAGATATTGGTTTTAATCTGTGTTAAGTGATGGTGAGTATACTAAAGAAGATGACAACTGTCCTCAGGGTTGAACTGAGTCCAGCATTCTTTAGTGGGACACAATCAATAGAACTCAGGTGTGAGACAGACAGTCTCCTTTTCTGGGCACATTCTCCTGCCTTGAGAATGTGATAAAAAATCATTGTGGAAAAGTAGCTGATGACAACCTGATCTTTGATTATGTGTGCTTGCTACTGCAGGCCTTAAGTCGTGTTTTATGACTTAGTCAAATCTGGAAAATCAGTTCCTCCTTTGAAAGATGGCAATCACATCTCCTCATCCAAACAACCGTGGTAGAAAAGTCTCACCACCTCCATATAAACTTTTGAAATACTGTTTTCTCTGTTGTTGTGTTTTTGGGAACATACAATGAATGCCACATGCTCACAGTACTTGTAGTAAAGCATGCCCAAGTGTCTTCCTACAAATGTGGTTGAGAATGAAGTTGCAGGATCTTTTTGATTGAAATTGGCTTCAGTAGCCTTAGGATTAGAATTCAGGTTGTGGGCAGGAGGGAGGGGATAGGTGGCAGTTGCAGGTATGCTACTTCTATTGGGTTTAATTTCAGGTATTTTTCCAGAAGCCCAAAAACCCAGCTTATGCTTCAGTTTTAGAAGGCTGGAATTTTCCCATATTGCAAGCAAAGGTCTGTTCTGTGAACCAGGCCGTGCAGAACACATCCTTTTGTGAATCCCATGTGTGATTGGTAGGTATTTTCCATTCACTTGGTGGCTGCATCTTTTCAGTCTTTTTTGTGGAGCTTCTCTGGCTTTTTCCTGCTCTGTATCTTTCCCTCTGGCAGGGAAACCTGTTTGTGTGAAGACATGGACTCTTGTCATATTGTGATTTACTCACCTTGCATTTTCGCACCCTGAAAAAACTGCTTTGCCAGCGGTTCATACAGACAGGTACTTTTGGCCTTTGGGGCAGTAAACCGCTGCAGTTGACTCAGGTGGATGATGCTTGAAAATTAGAGAGGTTCCCAAGTTTATTAAGTGCCTCTGCTACATTGACAGAATATAAAATGTTTGCTTTGTATTAATGTGAATTGAGAGACTTGTTCGGTCCTAGCACCTGCATAGTAAATCCTTGCTGAAATGAATTCTTTCTTGTTAGATGTCACAGTCTGCTTGTTCAATTTACAATGGAAAAAGTGAGCCTACAGATTTAAAATGTCTGGAGACGGGGAAGCTGTGTTTTCATGTGTTTCCTAATGTAGTTATAGTTTGATCTTGCTATAAATGTAAGGAAGTAGTCAATGCATGGCTATTCCGTCAGTTGTTAATGCAGCTAAGGTGAAGGTATAGTTGTGATGCTTTGCTTTCAGATGTCCCCATATGTTCTTCTCTTTGATTTGTCAATTTGCTCTCCTTACTCAAACTTTTTTCTATGGCTAATTGCCAGATAGTTTCATATGTGAGGTTTGTTCCCAGTTTTAGGATAACACGGAACAGATTATAGACCAGTTGGCTGCCATATGTGTGTATATAACATATACATGGAAATGATCTAGAAAACCTCAGCAACCTTGACAGGCAATTTAGCCTTCATCTGTTTCTCATCTAGGCTTGATCTTTACATGTCATTGTTTTCCTATTAAATACTTATGACATTAAAAGTACTTGTTTTGGCTTTCAGACAATGAAAACAACGTGTCTCCTTTAAAAATATATCCATAAACTGGCCAATTATACACACACACATACATACATGCATGCATAGAGAGAGAGAGAGAGCAAAAATGCATCATTATTGTAGCATGGTTAATAATTCCTTAAAATAGACAGATGTGTACATTGCTGCTAAATCTTTTAAAATTCGCACAAATAGGGCATCATACCGGTTTCTTACAGTCAGATCTCTCTCTCTGGGAAGATGGGTCACAACTGCAAAAACCCTGAATTAGATCGAATGTTCATAGACAATGGCTTGAATTCTGTTTTCCTGTTTTGTTTATAACTAACTATGTAGTTTACAGTCTTGGCACTTTCTTTGCAAACTCCTTCTTAGATCTTGTAAATCTGCTTCACAATAGTTAGGCAATTGTATACCTTTCTCAGTGCTGTGGAGTTCGAAGAGATTTTGGGTGGCCTCAAAATAAACTTACAAAGTTATAGCAATATTTGGTAGACATATTGCCTTCCTATATTTGTTAAATCCCTAGTTTGTTGCTTATATTTACTTTCATAGGAATTTAGAGAAGATGTCTTCTTCAGGAATTGTATAACTGTATTTTATGTTCTGTCAGTCTGAGTAGCCAGGTGATTGAAGCAGTGCTGACACAATACCTTGTGTTATCCTTTTATTACAGTTCATCTGTTATTGTGAATATATGTTTACTCTTTATGAAGGAATTTGAGTCATACTCCAGAAACTGGCATACCAAAGCTACGGTCTCTGCAGGAATAATGGATTTTTCAATTCTGGTCACTTAAGGTTTTTTTTCTGCTAAAGGGGACTATCCTGGCAATGGCTTCCCAGGAAAAGAGTACCGCATAAATTAGACTATGAAAATTCCACAGGTGCCCAACGGGCATTGAATGAAACAGATCCTATAAAACATAAGTGGGCAGGAGCCGTTGTGCATTTTCTTTGGGGATATTCATGTGTTGAAAAACTTTAGCAAGTACTTTACTGCTTTTCTTGCTAGCTGCCTCATGCTTAAGTCCTTATCTAATATGTACAGTGCTCTCTTGCTGCATAGTTGCTATACTCAATACTACTGTTATCAAGGTTCAAGAGGGTGATATCCTCCAGTCTTGGTAGAGAACAACCTCCACCCTTTTACTGTTCTAACCACAAGCCTCTGTTCACTGGCAATTGTGAACAATCTATAAATATCATAGAATCATAGAGTTGGAAGGTACCCCAAGGGCCATGTGGTCCATTCCTTTGCCCTGCAGTAATATACAACTAAAGACACAACTAAAGTATTCACAGAATCATAGAGTTGGAAGAGATCACATGGATCATCTAGTCCAGCCTCCTGCCATGCAGGAAAAAAGCTCACCCAACTTCTGCTTAACCTCCCTCCCCAAAGAAAAACCTGATCACCTTCTGATGCATCCCTTTTCAATTAATTTGAAACGCTTCTCCCCATACAGACCATCCCGGGCACTGCGGTCAACGGAGGAAGCCCTCCTCTCGGTCCCATCCTGACACAAGCTCAGTTGGTGGGAACGAGATAGGGGACTTTCCCCCATGATTGCTCCCCGTCTCTGGAACTCCCTTCCTAAAGAAGTAAAAATGGCCCCTACCTCCCTCTCCTTTAAGACACTTCTAAAAACTCACTTATGCATTTTATCTTATGGTGAGGAGGACTAAAACACGTTACCCATTCGGAATGCTGGCCAACTCCACTTGCGCTATATGGCTGCCACAATACATCTTAAAGGAACACCAGCACCAGCTATTTTTAATGTAACTGTATTTTAAACTGTTTTGAGGGTATTTGTTGTAATGTTTATTTGTTTTAGTTAATTATGTCTTACTGACTATTCTGTTATATTTTATTTCAATGCTTAATCCTTCGTGGTAAACACACTATTATTATTGTACTCTATTGTGTATTTTTGATATGTATTGTACTCACTTAGGCATTGAATGTCTGCCTTATGTGTAAACCGCTCTGAGTCCCCTCAGGGAGAAAGGGTGGTATATAAATAAAATTATTATTGCAGTTGTTATTGTTATTTGTATTAGATACACAACAACAAAAAGCCAGCAAGATCACTATGCTGTCTTTTGTATCAGATCACACATTGAACACTTCTCATGTGCCTAGGACTGTGAGATGTTTCAGCTAATAATGTGTGCAGATCCAAGTAGGGTCTTTTGCAGCTGACCGATAGTAATTTTGTTTTTAAGTCCAGGCCAAGGTCTTTAGGCACTGCACCCAGTGTGCCAGTCACCACTGGGACCCCCTTGACTGGCTTATGCCAGTCTTTGCAGTTTGATCTTTAAATCCTCATTTCGTGTAAGCTTTTCCAGTCACTTCTGATGATGATGATGATGATGATGATTATTATTATTATTAACCATTCTAATTCAATCCATTCAGTAGAAGAAAACAAGTTTTCTCTTAAGATTTGCATGACATCTCTTCGGATACTTGGGAAGACGACTGTCATGTTTAGATCATTGGTCCTCTTGATTGTTCATTTCCTAACTGAATGTTCTTCTCTGTTCTGCTTCAGAGTCTAGCCCAGCTAGAGAACCTGTGCAAGCAGCTGTACGAGACGACAGACACGACGACGCGGCTGCAGGCGGAGAAGGCCTTGGTGGAGTTCACCAATAGCCCAGACTGCTTGAACAAGTGCCAGCTTCTTCTCGAAAGAGGGAGTGTATGTAGACTTTTTGACCCACTGTTCTGTTCTCAAAACACTGAAGCAAGCACTGGGCGTTTGAGGGCTCTGCCTTCATGACCTAGTGCAGAGACATACACCAGTGTGGAGCTAAGAGCCTCCAAAATCAATGTTTCACATTTCCTTTTATGTGAGCAGCAGAGGATAATATGGCTTGGGTAGGGGTGCTTATGGATGTGGTTTTTCCATGCTGGAAAACAAGGGAGTCTATACTGTCACAGAAGCGTTGGCATGTCTGTGATCCCAGACAAGGTGTAGGTGTGTCCATTTAATTGGACTGCCGCACAGATTATAAACTATTACATTATTCTAGGGGTCCTCAAACTAAGGCCCAGGTGCCAGATATGGCCCTCCAAGGTCCTTTACCTGGTCCTCGCTCAGGGTCAACCGAAGTCTGAAATGACTTGGAAGCACACAACAATAACAACAACAACAATTCAAACAATCCAAAAGCAGGCCCACACTTCCAACTGAAATACTAATAAGTTTATATTTGTTAAAAACATTACAATAATTAAAATGAAGAACAATTTTAATGTTTTTTGCACTACAAATAAGATATGTGCAGTGTGCATAGGAATTCATTCGTGCTTTTTTCACATTATAATCAGGCCCTCCAACAGTTTGAGGGACTGTGACCTGGACCTCTGTTTAAAAAGTTTGAGGACCCCTGCATTATTCAAACCTGTCCAAGAGTGGGCAACTTCAATTCAGGATAGTTTTCCCTTGCACTATTTCAGGAGTGTTTTAAAGTGGGGGTTTTGCCAAAATCGTCATGCTGAGATACTTGGATTAGAATAACCGAGAAATTTCTATCAAGTCTTCCCACTTAAGACATATTACAAATCCATTGCTTTGCATAGTCGGAGAGTATTGTAATCTGAGGTGAACAGTTTCCAAGGGTCGAGAGGCGATGTTGGACCTCTTCACCCCCACAAAACATAGCACCTTAAGAGCAATTTTGCAAACAACCTCCCACTGATATTTCTAGCCCCCAATTCTGCAAGGAGAGAGTTCCTGTTCATTCATGCTCCATGTTTAGCCTAATTACAGTTGGGAATGAAGATGCACCCTTAACTGCTAATTGTTAATTTGGAAGCCTCCCCTTTGCTACTGTTTGCCTCCAATTTACTCCCTTTCATTCTGTGTTCTCCTTTGTTTCTACAGTCATCTTACTCCCAGCTATTGGCAGCTACATGCCTTACGAAACTGGTGTCGCGCACAAACAACCCTTTGCCCTTGGAACAGCGGATAGACATCCGTAAGTAAAAAACAAAACCCTGCCAAGGGATCCAGATCATTTCCTTGAGATACACAAAAGTATATAAGAACAGTAGTGTAAGAAACTGCAATGATTTCCTGGTCATTTCGGGGCCAAACTCAGAGCACTGTGTCAGCCTTTATAGACTCTTACCACAGATATGCTTTAGAGTCAGAAATAATTCTGAAGGCGTGCAACAACAATAATTTGTATTCATAGTTATCAAACTACTTTTAAATGAAATGCATGTTACTTTTTGACAGAATTTGTTAACCCCAGCATAAAACCTGATGAGGAAAACCCATTCCTTTTCAGTCAGTGCAGTTGCCTAAGCGGCTTGGAGCTCATCTCCCCCTGTCCTTCACCTGGTTCCTCCTCTTCTTTCCCTTCCAGGAAACTATGTGCTCAACTACCTGGCCACCAGGCCCAAGCTGGCAACCTTTGTGACCCAAGCCCTAATCCAGCTCTATGCCAGGATCACAAAGCTGGGCTGGTTTGACTGCCAGAAGGACGAATATGTTTTCAGAAACGTCATCACGGACGTCACAAGGTTTTTACAGGTTAGCTTTCTCTTCCAGCGCCTTCCCTTTCTGCGTATATCATGGTTTTAACATGAAGATTGTTGCCATGATCTTCTACACACTGAGAGGAATACTGCACTGCAAGGAATTGGGGACCTGGGGAGGGGGCTAAACCACTGGATAAGCCTTTGCTGCCCACAGATAGCCTTTGTCCCCCTTATTTGCAGTGTTGGAAGGGGCCGTGGGGGCATCTCTCTCAGTGTAGCACAGTGGTTCCCAGTCCATGGACCATCAGTGGTCTGCAAGAACTAAAATATGGGCCGCAACCTTACAGTTTGTATTAGCGGCGAGGCCACGAACCATATTTTAGTTCTTGCAGACCACTGGTTGCAACAAGAGTGACTTGTCTCGCGAAATCTTCTTATAGTTCCGAGTCTTATTAAATATTGTTTTCTGTGAGCAGTGAGCAGATGGCGACTACTGGATGGCATATGTTCTGTATCAGAAACTAGAGTTGAAGTGAGTCCCCCTGCGGGGGTGAGAAGAGCGGAATAGAAATGCTGTAAATAAATAAATAAATAAATAAATAAATATCCAATGCAGTTTGCAAATAACCAAACCGAATCCAAAGTTGACCAAAAACTGATTCGTAACCCTTTTGGTACTAATGTTGGAGAGTGGCCCCTGGTCAAGTGGTCCCTGGTCAAAAAAAGTTTGGGAATCACTGTCCACTCTTGTCCAGTCCTCTACTTAATAACTTCCAGCGAAGGAGGGCCCAACATCTGCCAGAGCTTAGAAATTCCTGTTGCCCTTCATAAGTAGTCTATTGCTCTATGTAGCTTGCTGCTTGGTGCATTGCTTGTTAAGTTACTTGTTATTCCTTTCTTTTAAATTAAAAAAAACACCTCAGGGTTGATAAAGAGGATGTCATGAGAGGTCCTGTCCAAATGCCCCTTTAAAAAGTTTTCAAAGTAACTAGAAATGAAAAGCAATGTAGTTCCTACAGTACTTGTGGGGCATAACTCTGTTCAATGTGTTTCTTTCATTTTGTCCAAACCTAAACAACAAGGTGTAAGGGAAAAGTTCCCTAAAATAAACAGTGGAGCTTCCAAAAACAAACAGGATACAAAAGTTGAGCATCAGCTCATTAGCGAGCAGAGCATGAAGTGTCATGTGATGTGGCTGTAAAGAATTAAGAACTTAGGAGGCAAACATGCAGAGTCCAATCTTTAAAAATCACAAAAGGTTTATGTACAATAATAAATAACTAACTACATTTCTTCGTGGTGTAGAACTGGGTCTGAGCTACTCTGACACCCATCTCTTCTAAGGTTTCAAAGAGAGGGAAAATCACCAAGCAGTAAATCTCTCCTGACACACAAGCAGAGAGAGAGCTCAAAGCACACAGCGCATACTCTCCATACTAAAGTGTAAGAAGGCAGAAGCCAGATTCAAAAAGGCTTGCAGTAGAAATGGATCTATTTTAAACAACCAATCAGAATGAGAGCAAAAAGAGAGAAGAAAAATATACATTCCCAACTGTTATTCAGGAGATATGAGGGAAGGGAAACCTTTAATCTATACTTAGCTAACTAAACTGTTCCTCATTGAGGACTTGAGACTTGGGCAGTGTGGAGTTGAATTCCAAACCAAGGGAGCTTCCTTCTTAATCAACACATTTTGTTGCAGAAAAGTGAACACACACATAGCATCCCTTCCCAGTCCTGCTGCTCCTACATTTTTGCCCCGATGTGTGTATGTCTGCAAAATCTACCCATTGGTTTTCGTCCTGCCCTTTAGAACAGCAGGGCAACCCTGATCCACTTTCTACATATTTGAAGGCCACTCTTAATCTCATCTTAGACTTCCCTTTGAATTTGTTTGACCTCATGTAAAAACCACCAACCATCTTGTGACCCCTTAAAGATCATTATCCAGCTTCCTCGCTGGTATCATGGGCAGTGAATTCCACAGTTAATGAAGTGCTCTTGTGAAGAAATTATTATTTTTTAATTATTAAACTTTATTTATACCCCGCCACCATCTCCCCCAACGGGGACTCGAAGCGGCTTACATGGGGCCAAGCCTGTACAACAAATTGCAATACAAAAATACAAAGTYCAATAAAATAAACAACATAACAGTAAAGTATAGAACATCAAAGCATATAAACAATATACACAAAACATAGAAACCAAACATAATGACAGAGAGCAGGCCGCATGTACATCAAATGATTTAAAAACTCAGGGTGAGATAAAGGGGCAAAACTGTTTGCAAGGGAGAACTCATAGAGAGACAGAGAAATAAACAAACCTTCATACGTGGGGCGGGGCGGAGAGAACTCCTGGGGCAAGCACGTTGAGGGAACAATAGCATAAAATGATGTGACTACTCTCCGAAAGCGCAACGGCAGAGCCAGGTCTTGAGACTCTTTTTAAAGGTTTCTAAAGTAAGGGCTTTCCTAATCTCTCCGGGTAATGAACTCCAGAGTTGGGGGGGGAGGGGGCACAGAGGAAAAGGCTCTCTCCCTTGTACCCACAAGGCGAGCCTGAAAAACTGGCAAGGGTGAAAGGAGGGCCTCGCCTGAGGATCGAAGAGTTCGGGCTGGTTCATGGAGAGAGATACGGTCACGAAGGTAGGCGGGTCCCAAACCGTTTAGAGCTTTATAGGTCAGAAACTGTACCTTGAATTGGGACTGGAAGATGAACGGTAGCCAATGGAACTCCTTAAATAGGGGGGGTTGACCGCACCCTGTAAGTTGCCCTAGTTATTAATCTGGCTGAAATGAAACTAGGAAGCATAGAAATAGCCTTTACTTAAAAGATGACCCCCAGAAGTGGTCAATGTGTGGTAGTGCCTGTGGCTCTTCCTCATTCCTGTTGTGCAATGAGATCTTGTTGTTGCTTTGTCCCTGCTGCCTGCACTCTGCACCCGTTTTCTCTTTCTCTCTCTGACACTCCGCGTTCCTTCCTCAGGACAGTGTAGAGCACTGCATCATAGGAGTGACCATTCTCTCTCAACTGACGAATGAAATTAACCAAGTAAGTGCTACAGCATTCCTCAGCGAAGTAAGTGTCAACTTTTCTCATTCATTTTGCTGTGTGGCGCTCATTGTGTGTCTCTGTGCGCTGGTTTGTGTCTGTACAGTCGTGTGCTTTTGGTGGTAAGCAACGGGGCCTTGGGAATTGAGTCTTGGTCACCTCTCCCTAAGGAAAATGTCACAATCTAGACCTCCCCCTCCCCACACACACACTTTTGATGAGGTGGGAGGTGGGATTCCCTTTTCTGAATGTCAGAGAGCCATTACGGTCTTCCAGTATCTGCTCCTTTGAGAAAATCCTTCATAACAGCAGCACCCTTTTTCTTGCTTAGAGCTTACAAAAAGTGTTGCTCCAACTCAAAAGACTGTATATTCCCTTCAGTCGTATAAGATCTCATTTTACTGCTTTCTGCTCGTATGATCTCCCTTCCTGTCAAATATGACACTAGCGTAGTTAAGGTTGACATGTTCCACTCCTACCTCTCCATTTTACATCCTTCATCATCTGATGTGATGTGTCCAGTTTCCTTTGGGAAGCCCAAAGTGGCCTGTCTGCCCACAGGAGTGATACAGAATTGGGGGCGGGGGGGGGGGGGGGGGGAGTCATGCTCTGAGTCTTTGCCTCCATTGTTTGCCCTGCAGTGCCCTCTGCAAGCATTTAGTGGGGCTTTGGGTTTGGGCTCAAAAGGAGGGCTTTTAAAAAAGTGCTGTTTTTTTAAGACAGTCTGAAAACACTGTCCTGTTTAGCATTTTATTTTCCTTCCTGCTTCAAAGAGCAATCATGCTCACCACAACTTTCATTTTTGTCAGGGCCAGCATTTGATGCAGACACAACCATGTTTGTATATAACTGCAAACCAGAGTGGCCTTAAAAGCTACCTTTCCTTTTGCTTTATGTTCTAACACCATTAATTGTTTTTGCTTGATACTAGTTACCTGCATTCGGGACTTACCTTGATCCGTTTTGTTTCCCAACTTTTGGTAGCCCCCCCGGATCCGTTTTCATCTGAGCTTCCCAAAATTGGGAGGTCAGATAGTTTGTTTTTGGGGCTAAAATATCCATTTATGGACTTCACCCATAGGCCCAAAGTGCCTCGCAGGGCCTGCAGCTCCTTACTCAACGCTCAGCTGTAGGCCCTGCCAAGCCCGGGTGCGTACGCCCAAAGCCTGCACCCGTACGCCCAGGGCCAAAATACCAATTTATGGACTTCACCCATAGGCCCAAAGCACCTCGCAGGGCCTGCAGCTCCTTACTCAGTGCTCAGCTGTAGGCCCTGCCAAGCCAAGGTGTGTACGCCCAAAGCCTGCACCCGTACGCCCAGGGCCAAAATATCCATTTATGGACTTCACTCATAGGCCCAAAGCACCTTGCAGGGCCTGCCACTCCTTACTCAGCACTCAGCTGTAGGCCCTGCCAAGCCCTGGTGCGTACGCCCAAAGCCTGCACCCGTAGGCCCAGGGCCAAAATATCCTTTTATGGACACCCATAGGCCCAAAGCACCTCGCAGAGCCTGCAGCTCCTTACTCAGCAATCAGCTGTAGACCTGCCAAGCCTGGGTGCGTACGCCCAAAGCCTGCACCCGTAGGCCTAGGTGCTTTGAGCTTATGGGTGCAGGCATCCCGGCCTATGCATCTAGACCTGTCAGGGCCTGCAGCCAAGCATCGGGTAAGGAGCACTCCTTACTCGGCGCTTGGTTCCAGGCCCTGCCAGGCCCCACACAATCCATCCGTTAAGCAGGTCCGCCTGCCTTTTGTATCGATTGCATTTTAATTTCAGGAGGGGCCTTTCCATTTTGTGCCATCCAAATGGACAGAACGAAATGAAAACACAAATAAAACGAATGGGACAAATTTCGTGCTCATGACTACTTGATACTTGTTTCTTTACCACAAATACTAAGTGGTTATTTTGTGTTGCTGTTCTTAAAGTTACATAGCCATCCCTAGGGCCGGGCTTTAGCACAGCTGGTTAATCACCAGCAGCAATAAGATCACACCAGTTGAAAAGTTGGCAGTTAGAAGCCTGGGTTGGAGTGAGCACCCGACCTTTAGCCCAGCTTACTGTCCACCTAAGCAGTTTGAAAATAGCTGTGAGTAGAGAAATTAGGCACCACTTAAGCAGGGAGATATTTTATGGCACCATAAAAAGGAAGTACCAGAAAATGCCAGTGTTCAAAGAAAGGAGGAGGTCTGTGATCAAAGGCTCTTTGTCATAGAGGATGGAGTCACAGCACCCCCTGTGGCCAGAATTGTGCACAACCTCCAGGATGCCGAAATTGGGGGGGGGGGGAATACCTCTGTCTGTTGTCTGTCCTGTGTAACGGCATTGAATGTTTGCCAAGTATATGTTCTGTGATCCGCTTTGAGTCCCCTTCGGGGCGAGAAGGGCAGAATATAAATGCTGTATACAAATAAATTGCCACTGGTCATTCCATTCAGAGGTAGGGCTGGCCCAGATGGGCTCGGCTAATACCAGGTCCCTATTGATAGCCAGGTTCTAGGTTGAGGACTGGGATTTCTGTTCCCTTCATTCCAGCTGGTGGGTCTACGCAAAGTCCACCTGCCAAGTAGGGAGTGGCTGAGCTTTGCCCAAATGGCTGCTCAACAGTATGAACAGACTCTAACTTTTTAAACATCCATAATTAGTGCTTTAGGCAGTTATTGACAGTTTGGTAAAAAGTTAACATCAGTGTAGAGACAGCTCAAACTGGAGTTACAGGCCTAGGAGCCTTGTGTCTGTTTGAAAGCAGCTTATGGGGTGCCCTGCTGGCCTGCCATTGCCTCCACTGTAGTGGCTCTCCCAATCTGTGATGGAGTTGTCACGGTGACCTCTCTCCTTCTTCTCTTTTCCTGCTCTCCTCTCCCAAATTCCCTCTCCAGGCAGACACTACGCACCCTTTGACCAAGCACAGGAAAATAGCCTCTTCATTCCGGGATTCTTCATTATTTGATATCTTCACGCTCTCCTGCAATTTGTTAAAACAGGTAAGAAGGGCCTGGGAAGGACTTCAGAAAGTGGCTCCTAGCATCAGATAAAATCCTCCTTTTTAGGAGCCGTGATTGTGTGCCATCTCTTGTACTCCAGTCATTTTGCCTTTGGTTCATCCTTGATTATTTACCTTAATCACTAAACCCAAGGACTTAGTGATTACCTTGGCCACGGTGGTCCATGTTCTTGTCACATCTCAAATAGATTACTGCAACACACTCGACATGGGATTGCCTTTGAAGACTGTTTGGAAGCTTCAATTAGTCCAATGGGTGGCAGCCAGATTGCTCACTGGAGTGGCGTACAGGGAGCATACCAACCCCCCCTGTTGTGCCAGCTCCACTGGCTGCCAGTCTGCTACCGAGCACAATTCAAAGTGCTAACTTTGGCCTATAAAGTCCTGAACATTTCCTGCCCAGCTTAATTATCCAAACATGTATCCTATGATCCACCTCGGAGGTTAAAGTGTTGGGGGAGGCCCTGCTCTGGGTTTCACCACCCTTGCAAGCATGATTGGCAGGGACGAGAGACAGGGCCTTCTCAATGGTGGCCCCCCGTCTGTGAAACTTCATCCTTAATGAAATTAGGTCACCCCCCCCCCTGTCTTTTCGGAAAAAACTTAAAACATGGTTGTGGGACCAAGCATTCGAGCAGCAGACACAGCGATGATAATTTAAATGACTTATGTGACTGACAGTGGACAGATCTCGGATTGTGACATTGGATTTGTGCAATTTTAAATGGATATTTTATCATTGATGTTTTAACTAATTGTTTTAATTTTAATTGTTATTATAATTGTTGCGTTTGGCATCTAATTATTGCCAGTTGTGAGGCACCCTGAGTCCTCCCCCTCAGGGGAGTGAGAAGGATGGGATATAAAATAAATAAATAAAAGTGATTCCTGTTAGCATTTTGTGGACTGATACAATAAACAGCCTGTTTATCTCTTCAGCCTTTGCTTCATTCATTGGATTTTAAATCAGTAGGGTTTGTATGTTGTTTAATGCAAATATTGTCATGTAAATTTACTTTGTTATTGATTTGTATTTTGTGTGTTGCTGCACTGTTGTGTGCTTTTCGTGAGCCGTCCTGAGTCCCTTTGGGGAGATGGTGGCGAGATACAAATAAAGTTTTTATTGTTATTATCCATGAAGGTGATAATAATAATAATAATAATAATAATAATAATAACTAATAATAATTGCTGTGTCATACTGTGTTTTTGTGTCAGTAAAATAATAATAAAACTTTATTTGTATCTTGCCTTAATACATAATAATATCTTATTATATCCATTAAGAAAAAAAGGCTCCCTGGTGGTGCAGCGGGTTATACCGCTGAATTGCTGAGCTTGCTGACCAAAAGGTTTAATGGTTCAAATCCACGGAGCGGGGTGAGCTCTCACTGTTAACCCCAGCTTCAGTCAACTTAGCAGTTTGAAAAAAATCAAATGTGAGTAAATCAGTAGGTAATAATAATGATAATAATAAAACTTTATTTATACCCCGCCACCATCTCCCCAAGGGGACTTGGAGCGGCTTACATGAGGCCACGCCCATCAGTACAGTAAACACAATATAACAAAAACACAACAGAAAATCAAAAAAGAAAATAACCTAAAATACAAAACCAATGTAAATAAACAACACAACAATATGAAATCAAAACATTAAGACACTAAAAATGATCATTATGGGCAGGGCCAAAAATTATCACTATGGGTAGGTACCGCTCCAGCGAGAAGGTAATGGTGCTCCATGCAGTCATACTGGCCACATGACCTTTGAAGAATCTACGGACAATGCCAGCTCTTCAACTTAAAAATGGAGATGAGCACCACCAGCCCCGAGTCAGACACGACTAGAATTAATGTCAGGGGAAACCTTTACCTTTTTTATCCATTAAGAGCCTGTCCATCAGTTAAGCTTTGTGATGTTGTTTTCTTTGTCTAGGCGTCGGGTAAAAACCTGAACTTGAATGATGAAAGCCAGCACGGCCTCCTCATGCAGCTCCTTAAGCTTACACACAACTGCCTGAACTTTGACTTCATTGGTACGTCGACAGATGAGTCCTCGGACGACCTCTGCACCGTGCAGATCCCCACCAGCTGGAGATCAGGTAACAGGAAATGATACTGCTCTCCACTTTGATGTCACCTGAATAGGGTTGGACTGGGTGGCCCTAAGAGTCTATTCCAGTTCTATGATTCTGTCGGTGTGGGGGCCCTTGGTCAATGGCATCCTTAGCTCTTCTTAGCCAATGGGATTTTGGCCTGCATCAAGAGGAGTCTAGTACTCAGATCCAGGGAAGTCATGCTCCCCCTCTATTCTATTTTTCCTTGGTCAGACCACTTTACCTGGAATCACACTGTGCCCCATTCTGGGCACCGCAATTTAAGGGAGATGTAGACTCTAAGCTGGAATGTCTCCAGAGGAAGAGGGTGACTCAAAGGATCAAGGGTCTGAAGAACAAGCCCTGTGAGAACAGAGTGACTTCAAGAGCTGGGCATGTTTAGCCTGCAGAAGAGAATGCTGAGAGGAGAGGTGATGAGGGCTACAGATCAAGATGTGAGGGGTAGTCATAGGTAGGAGGGAACAAGGTTGTTTTCTGCTGCCCTGGAGACTAGGATGCAGTGGAACAACGGCTTCAAACTACAGGAAAGGAAATTCCACCTGAACGTTAGGAAGAACTTCCTGACTGTGTGGGAGAGAGAGCTGTTCAGCAGCAGAACTTTCTGTCCCGGAGTGTGGTGGATGCTCCTTTTTTGGAGGCTTTTAATCAGAGGCTGGATGACCATCTATCAGGGTGCTTTGAATGTGATTTTCCTGCTTCTTGGCAGAATGAGGTTGGACTGGATGGCCCATCAGACCTCTTCCAACTCTCTGATTCTATGACTTTTCCGTGACTCAAAGACTGATGGACTTGAGGGCCTGAGTTCAGTCTGGTGGGGCCAGCCATCCTGCCAAAGTACTTTTTTTAAGGCAACCATGCTGACATGTTTGTCTCTCTTTCAGCATTTCTAGATTCCTCAACCTTACAGCTGTTTTTTGACCTGTACCATTCCATCCCTCCCACGTTTTCACCTCTGGTGAGTGCCACATTCTAGTCTGGCTATGACAAGGGCATTACTATAGTTAAAATTCCCCTTGAAAAGGTTCTGGGGATTGGTTTTATGGCCATATTGGAGCTCAAGGAGATAAGCTTCTCCCCTGAACACCCCCTTCCTAAATGAGAAGACCAGTTTGCTTGCTCTCTGGTCTGTCCGTTAGTGCCAATACTGCCAATACAACTCTTTGTCCCCCCCCCCCCCCCCCCCCCGGTCACCATTCACCACCAACTCATGCTTCTTTGTTTTATTCCTCCTGCTTTCTTTAGGTCTTATCATGTCTAGTGCAAATCGCTTCTGTCCGTAGGTCCTTATTTAACAATGCAGAAAGAGCAAAATTTTTGTCTCATCTCGTTGATGGTGTCAAGCGAATACTGGAAAACCCCCAGGTATGCCATTGCTAAATGCCCTGGTTGTATACATTGTTGGGCAAATGGGCTTATTAACAAAAGGCTGTCCTCATAAACATATAGCAGAGTAACTTAGCAGCAGCAGCGTGACCCAGCACCAGTAGCCCAAAGTGATAAACAGAACAAAAAAACACAGGCCAATGTGATCTTTATTTACAAGAACAAGTTTTCCATAAACTTGTGAAATCTTCAGTGAAATCTTCTGTGTTTTTAATATTTGATTTTATATTCTTGTGTCGCTTATTATATTGGTTTGCATTTTATGTATTTTTATTTTGGTTTTACTATGTTTTTGTGTTATATTGTGTATACTGCATTGATGGGCGTGGCCTCATGTAAGCCGCACCGAGTCCCCCTGGGGGAGATGGAGCGGGGTATAAATAAAGTTTTATTATTTATTGTTATTAAAACACAAATAAACAAATACATAGTAGCTTTATACGCAGCAGCCTTCACACTGAAGCCGTTGTATGTCAACCTGTTCAGCCTATGATTGTGTCTGATGTTCATGTTGGAACTGATGTTCATGTTGATTTTCATTATGGGAATGGGGATGACGTTCCTGATTATGGGTTTGGGGATGCAGGTTTTGCCCAGGCCGGAGTTAAGTTCAGAAGAGAGGCCTGAATAAGGCCACATTCCTGGGAAAGACCTTTTGCCGCTTTTCTCAGAGCAGCAGCCTGAAAATTATGCTGAGATTGCTGTGCCAGGTACAGAAGGAGAGGATAGTGAAACCTTGAAACAGAAAGCAAAGTTTTAGTAAACAGAGGCAGAACTTTCAGAATCTCAAGCACTCTGCTTGTTTACAACAAATGAAAAATTATCTAGTGGGAAAAAATGATTTCATGCCAGTCTCGGCCTTTGGAAAGGGTTTATAATGATTCATGAGAAACCGGTGTCTCAGTCGAGTCAATGTTGTTAATTCATTCTGGTTTCGTTTTCAAGTGTTCTATGTTTCATGTATCATGTTGTTGCCAAGTTTTAAGTTTTGATTGAGAGTCCCTGCTGTTTTGATTCATTGTTTCAAGTTCTTGGCTTCATGGATTTCTGTGTACTAAAGGATCTGGTTTACTTTTAAAGTTCATGGATTATCTTGGATTTTGGATTTTTACTGTTTTACTATTTTTACTGCTTTCTACAATAAAGTGCTTCCTGATTTTACCAGGCTAGTGTGGTGTTTCAAGTCAGAGGTGTTTCTGCTCTGGTGTACGACAGGTGCCTTCTTACACAAGGCTTCTCTCACACAGAGTTTTAGCTCACACTCCTCAGGATGACATTGCCTTTGGCCCACTGATTCTAACAGGCTTCGGCCTATCTCTCTCCTCAGGACGATACTAGCTTTGGCTCACTGATTCTAACAGGCTTTGACCTACTCACTCTCCTAGGACGACACTAGCTTTGGCTCACTGATTCTAACAGGCTTTGACCTACTCACTCTCCTAGGACGACACTAGCTTTGGCTCACTGATTCTAACAGGCTTTGACCTACTCACTCTCCTAGGACGACACTAGCTTTGGCTCACTGATTCTAACAGGCTTTGGTCTACTCGCTCTCCTAGGACGATACTAGCTTTGGCTCACTGATTCTAACAGGCTTTGGCCTACTCACTTTCCTCAGGACGACACTAGCTTTGGCCCACTGACTCATAACAGGCTTCGACCTACTCACTTTCCTCAGGACGACACTAGCTTTGGCCCACTGACTCTTAACAGGCTTCAGCCTACTCACTCTTTCAGTTCTTGACTCACACTTTTGTAATCAAAATGCCTAGTTAATTTTTAATATTTCTAACATGCATTGCCAATAGGAAGAGCAGTTGCCTGCTGTTTTTCTTTATGTTTTGAGGCCCTTTTTGTTTCTGTCTTCTGTGGAAATCTGGAAAACTCTGGGTCCTGGCAGAGCAGGGCCTGCTGTTCCCTAAGGAGGAAAACACTGAATGCAAGTGTTTGGCTGCTTCTTTCGGGAGCTGGACATTTACCTTGACTCCACATTTCTTTTTGTTCTCAGAGCTTGTCAGACCCCAACAACTACCATGAGTTCTGTCGGCTGCTTGCGCGGCTGAAGAGCAACTACCAGCTGGGGGAGCTGGTGAAAGTGGAAAACTACCCAGAAGTCATCCGACTCATCGCCAACTTCACAGTGACCAGTTTGCAGGTAGGAATCAGTATGGCTGCAGCGGAGTGAGACGGGAGTCACGCTGAAACCAAGTGGGAGAAGTAAAATGAGGTTTTGAATTAAATTAACCAACACTTGCATTACATGGAATTATTTTGGAGCATTCCCTCTTATAGAATATTTTAGTTTGCTACAAGGGGAGAACATGAGGTTGCATATAGACAGGAGCAAGACACAACCTCACTTCTGTCAGAGCCACAAAATCTCAAGGCAGATGATGCAGCAAAACAGTCTTGCGGCACCTGCAAAACTTAAAAATCCTATAATTTAAGATGGGGTGACCTACACTCTTAAATAGTTTCTAATGTTAGAGAAAACTGCCCTAAAATATAGCAGAGCATTCAAAAACAAACAGGGTACTTCACTTCACTTCACTTTATTTCTTAATTAGTCGCTCTCCACCAAGGTGCTCTGAGTGACTTACAATTTAAAGTAGCATTTCACAATATAAAAACATTCAACATAAAAACATTCAACAGTGAATATTTGGCAAATTAGATCTGATTACTTAAATGCACGACCAAACAGCCAAGTCTTGAGCGCTTTTACAAAAGGTCGCAACTCCGACGTTGCTCTAACATATGGAGGCAGTGAGTTCCACAGAATTMGAGCGTAGGTCGAAAAAGCTCTACACCTTGTAGCTTCCAGGTGTACCTCCCTAGGGCCCAGTATGTATAGGATATTTTTCTGGATGGATCGAAGTAGCCACAGATGGAAAAAAGGAGTGAGGCGGTCCCTAAGATATAAAGGTCCTTGGCCATTTTGAGCTCTGAATGTCAGGATCAGTATCTTGTAAGAGATCCGATGTTCTATTGGTAGCCAATGCAGTTGTTGCAGAATCGGTGTAATATGGGATCTTATAGATCAGTGCTTCTCAACCTTCCTAATGCCGTGATCCCTTAATACACTTTCTCATGTTGTGGAGACCCCCCAAACAACATTATTTTCGTTGCTGCTTCATAACTGTAATTTTGCTACTGTTATGAACTGGAATGTAAATATCCAATATGCAGGATGTATTTTCATTCATTTGGCACAAATACCCAAAACKCCAAAATTTGAATACTACTGGGATTGGGTGAGGGATTGATTATGCGGGGTATAAATAAAGATTAATAATAATAATAATAATAATAATAATAATAATAATAATAATAGTAATAGTAATAGTAATAGTAATAATAATGTCATTTGGGAGTTGTAGTTGATTTTATTTATAGTTCACCTACAATCAAAGAGCATTCTGAACTTCACCAATGATACAATTGAACCAAACTTGTCACACAGAACTCCCATTATCAACAAAAAATATTGGAAGGGTTTGATGGGCATTGACCTTGAGTTTTGGAGTTGTAGTTCACCTACATCTAGAGAGCACTGGAAACTCAAACAATGATGGAACTGGGCCAAACTTGGCAAGAATACTCAGTATGACCAAATGTGAACACTGGTGGCATTTGGGGAAAATCAACATTGACAGTTGGGAGTTATAGTTGCTAGGATTTATAGTTCACCTACAATCAAAGAGCCTTCTGAACCCCACCAATGATAGAATTGGCCCAAACTTCCCATGCAGAACCCCCATGACCAACAGAAAATACTGTGTTTTCTGATGGTCTTTGGTGACCCCTCTGACACCCCCTCGTGACCCCCCTAGGGGTCCCGACCCCCAGGTTGAGAACCACTGTTATAGATGATCCTGCTTGCAGCCTGGCCGCCGCATTTTGGACCATCCGGATCTTCTGGGTTGTTGACTTCGGAAGGCCGGCATATAAGGTGTTGCAATAGTCCAACCTAGTGGTGACTGTTGCATGAATTACCGTTGCCAATGCTTCTACCAAAAGGTAGGATGTCAATTTCCTTGCCTGGTGAAGATGAAAAAAGGCCTGCTTACTTATGGCAGTGATCTGGGCCTCCATCGTCAGCAATGAGTCCAACACAACCCCGAGGCTTTTAACAGTGGCAGACGGAACCAGAGCTTCCCCATCGAAATCAGGCAGAGACTGGATTAATTCTGGTGGCTGGCCAGGCCAGAGTATCTCAGTGTTTGCAGGATTTACTTTTAGTCTACTCGCTCGCAGCCAACTCATCACTGCTTTCAAACACAGCCTAAAGTTCTCAGGAGTTGTGGTTGTCCCAGGTTCATAGAATCATAGACTCCTAGAGTTGGAAGAGACCTCATGGGCCATCCAGTCTAAAAACTAGGCTTATACTCGAGTATATACAGTAACAGCTCCTCGTTGAGGACTTGAGACTTGGGCACTGTGGGGTTGAATTCCAACACTCAATGTGTCACAAAACTCTTAGTAGACCTTGGCCCATATTGCTTTTCCTGACATGAGTCTCATTTAAGAACAAGGACACTTAACTGGAAAAATGAGGGAGCTTTTTTCTTTTAATTCAGAGGCTGGGAGAGAAGTAAGAAGGTCCAGGTCCTTAACTGCCAGGTTTGGGTTAAGTTTTCAAGGGTGTACTGGCAACAGATATATCCACAGTATCCTGGCTTTGTTTTCTACTCATTGAAACAGCTCCTGTTTTGCTGGCCGCTGTGGTGATGAAGGTGATGTTTTAAATGTGGCATCGGCTTCCTTCCCTCTCTCTCTCTCCCCCTGCAGCACTGGGAATTTGCCCCCAACAGCGTCCACTACCTGCTCAGCCTGTGGCAGCGGCTGGCAGCCTCAGTTCCCTACGTCAAAGCCACGGAGCCGCACATGCTGGAGACCTACACGCCCGAAGTCACCAAAGCATACATCACCTCCAGGCTGGAGTCTGTGCACATCATACTAAGGTAACAAAGGCTCTGGGGCAGCCATAGAGGGGGAATCCAGACCCTTATCCCTCTCTTTGGACCAGGAACAAGGTGGCGTAGAAAGGGACTCCATCAGGAGTTCCTGGCCATTTTGAAAGACTCCTGGATCTCAGCCGCTCTGGCGAAGGACCTTTTATTGACCTGTCCTAATGTCGCCTAATATCGCCTAATTGTTGCACCTCCATTTTGGGGTGGGAAAATTGGTTTTACTGTGTTCCTTGCATAACAGTTGCAAAATCTGTTGTCGAAGGCTTTCATGGCCAGAATCACTGGTTTGTTGTGTGTTTTCCGGGTTGTCTGACCATGTTCCAGAAGCCTTCTCTCCTGATGTTTCGCCTGCATCTATAGCAGGCATCCTCAGAGGTTGTGAAGTCTGTGGGAAAATTAGGCAAGTGGGGTTAATATACCTGTGGAATGATGTCCAGGGAGAGAGAAAGAATTTTTGTCTGTTGGAGGCAAATGTGAGTGTTGCGATTGGCCACCTTGATTAGCTTATTATTATTATTATTATTATTATTATTATTATTATTATTATTATTATTACAGCCATTAGGGACAGTTTCTTGGGTCTCACGCTCTACTTTTTATAGTTTTTTCATTTTCGGCTCGCTCCTCTTCTTTTTTTTACATGAGCTTTAACAAAATCCATGAGTATTATTGGTCTCTTCATTTTTAGGCCTGTTCCTGGGGTTATTTATTATTATTATTATTATTATTATTATTATTACTACTACTACTACTACTACTACTACTTTGCGGGACTAAACAGGGTCTTACAAAGGGCTGCTTTCCCATTACAACTGATGTGTGACAATTGGAGTTGTTTATTCGTTTAGTTGCTTCTGACTCTTCGTGACCTCATTGATCAGCCCACACCAGAGCTCCCTATCGGCTGTGGCCACCCCCAGTTACTTAAAAGTCAAGTCAGTCACTTCAACAATGGGAGTAAATAATAGTAGTAGTAGTAGTAGTAGTAGTAGTAGTAGTAATGATAATAATTTGATCAGCCCACACCAGAGCTCCCTATCGGCTGTGGCCACCCCCAGTTCCTTCAAAATCAAGTCAGTCACTTCAACAATGGGAGTAAATAGTAGTAGTAGTAGTAGTAGTAGTAGTAGTAATGATAATAATCGTTACTTTGCAGGACTAAACAGGGTCTTACAAAGGGCTGCTTTTACAACTGATGTGTGGCAATGGGAGATTATTATTATTATTATTATTATTATTACTTTGGGGGACTCTTCTTCTGTCCCTCGCTCTCCTCCAATGGCACTGGCGAAGCTGCAATAGGGTGAGGGCTATAGCGCTGGCCTCCTTCCTTCTCTCCCTTTCTCTCTCTCTCTCTCTCTTGCTCTCCTCCAACGGTGGTGTGCACCCTCACACGCGGACCTTACTTTAGGTCTCACGGTCCACCCGTGGGCAGTGGCCCATGGGTTGGGAACCACTGGTGTAAATCCACAGAAATCCGAAGCCTGCTTTGCGGGCTCCCTGTGGGTGGTTCTGTGCTATGAACTCCTAGAGAAGTTTTTTATGAAGTTCCTGCTTTGCTACTTCCTCTTTGTGCAGAGACGGCTTGGAGGACCCTCTGGACGACACGGGTTTGGTGCAGCAGCAGCTTGACCAGCTCTCCACCATCGGGCGCTGCGAGTACGAGAAGACTTGTGCCCTCCTTGTGCAGCTGTTTGACCAGTCGGCCCAGTCCTACCAGGAGCTGCTGCAGAGCGCCACTGCCATCCCAGTGGATGTCGCTGTGCAGGAAGGTGAGTCAGTCCTGAAGAGGAGGAGGAAACCAGGAGCAGCTCCCCTCTCATAGCAAAGGAGGCAGTTTTGGCCCCACTTACCAGGCAGAATGTGAGCGGGTTCCTGTTCCTTCCTCCTGTAACCCAGTCTGCTCTGACGCTATACTCTTCCTTCACACAGCTTTATTTATTCATCTTCATAGACATCTGGTGTGAATCTTCCAGAGGGTTTGTTGATTCAGAAATATCAGTGGCTGTCAGTATTGATGGCCATATATGATAAATCAGTTTGCAACAGTTCTGACCAATGTGTTGTTGAAAACTTTCAAGGCTGGAATCACTGGGTTGCTGTGTGTTTTCTGGACTGTATGGCCATGTTCCAAAAGCATTGTCTCTTGATGTTTCGCCCACATCTATGACAGGCATGCCCAGAGGTTGAGGGGTCTGTTGAAAACCAAGCAAGGGGTGTTTATATATCTATGGAAAAATATCCAGGGTGGGAGAAAGAACTCATTTCTGTTTGAGATAGGTGTAAATGTTTCAATTGGCCACCTTGATTAGCATTTAATGGCCTTGCAGCTTCAAAGCCTGACTAGTTGCTGTCTAGGATTATCCTTTGTTGGGAGGTGTTGGCAGGATCTGTTTGATTCTTGTCTGGAATTCTCCTGTTTTTTGAGTGCTACTTCAAAGCCTGGCTGGTTGCTTCCTGCCTGGGGGAATCCTTTGTTTGGAGGTGTTAGCTGGCCTTGGTTGATTCCTGTCTGGAATTCCTCTTTTTTTTTTTAGTGCTGCTCTTTATATACTGTCATAATTTTAGAGTTTTTTAATACTCTAAAATTAGAGTATTAAAAAATTTAATTTAATACTCTAAAATTAGAATATTAAAAAAGACAGATTTTGTTCTAAAATCAGGACAGCATATAAAGAGCAACACTAAAAACAGAGGAATTCCAGACAGGAATCAACCAGGGCCAGCTAATACCTCCAAACAGAGGAAGGCAGGAAGCAACCAGCCAGGCTTTGAAGCTGCAAGACCATTAAATGCTAATCAAGGTGGCTAGTTGCAACATTCTGCCTCAAGCAGACAAGAGTTCTTTCTTTCTCCCACCCTAGACATTACTGCGCAGGTATATACACCCCACTTGCCTAGTTTCTAACAGAACCCTCAACCTCTGAGTATTCCTGCCATACATGTGGGCGAAACATCAGAAGATAATGCTTCTGAAACATGGCCATACAGCCCGGAAAACTCACAGCAACCCAGTTCTGACAAATACTCTTATTTTCTCCAGTTCCCATTTGCATGCATCTAGCTGGAAGCTTTTTAGCATCATGAACCTTGAGAAGGTCTAGAAGGGGAGCTGAAAAAAAAAGTCTTTTAGTGTCAGGTTTGCAGCAAGATGTCTGCAGGGTCATTCCCTCTTTGAACTCCTTTCTTGCACAAATGCAATGAATCCTTCAGGTCTTTTACCCTTAGCTTTTCATAAAGATGTTTCTGCAAACTGAGTCCTGTGTCTGTCTCGCTTCCAGGGCGCCTGACGTGGCTGGTCTACATCATCGGGGCGGTGATCGGGGGACGGGTGTCGTTTGCCAGTACAGACGAGCAGGATGCCATGGATGGTGAACTGGTTTGCCGGTAAGACCTGCCCTTTTCTTCTCAAAAGCATATTTCGGAAAGGATCTGGACTCTCTGCTCTGTTAGGTCCTTGAGGAATGCTTTTCTTGGGAGGCTGAGGGAGAGAATCTTAGTGCTTTTGTAACAGACTCCAGGCGATTCTGGGCATAGGCTCCATTATCCTGAGACAATCCCACCTTCATATTTAAAGCAAAACTGATTAATCAACTTTGTGGTGAAATTGACGCTTAAAAGTAGGTAGAAAATTCACGGCAGAATTTTTTTCAAAGATGGACAGAAGCAGGTTTCTGTCCGATCACATGATTTAAAATAGGTAATGCAGAAACTGTCTTGGGAGCTATGTCTGGCACAGAAGGGAGCCCTGGAGAGGCCAGGAACTACACATGCAGTTCAAAAGCAAGACAAACACCTACATGTTTAGTCTGCTGAACAAAAGGTTGCGAGAAGGCATCCATAGGTTCAATACTTTTGATTCTTCACGAAAAACTGTAATTTAAGATAAGACTGTCCAACTCTGATTAAACCATTATTCTCACCTTATTCAATGTAAATGTGCTTATGTATCCCTCCAATAATAATAGAGTAAAATAATAATAATAGAGTAAAATAATAAATGTACTAAAAATAATAAAGAGAGTAAAACAATAAATGTAATAATAACAATAATAAATAGAGTAAACTAATAGATGTAATAAAAATAATAATAGAGAAAAATAATGTAAATGTAATGATAATAATAGTGTTCGACTTGTGATTTTGTGATATGAAATCCAGCATATATATCTCATTTGCTGTGACATACTGTGTTTTTGTGTCAGTAAAATAATAATAAATGGAGTAAACTAATACATGTAATAAAAATAATACTAATAATAGAGTAAAATAATAAATAACCTTGACTCAAGTATAAGTCGAGGGGAGCTGTTTCAGCCTAAAAAAGGGGCTGAAAAACTCGGCTTATACTCGAGTATATACAGTAAGTAACCAATATAACTCTGCAGGTTCCTCTTAGTTTTTGTGCAGCCTGGTTCTGAACCCAACCCCCTTCACTTCCCCAATGCCTTGCTTCCTCCCCAGGGTCCTTCAGCTCATGAACCTGACAGACTCACGCCTGGCCCAGGCGGGCAATGAGAAGCTGGAGCTGGCCATGCTGAGCTTCTTTGAGCAGTTCCGGAAAATCTACATCGGAGATCAGGTGCAGAAGTCCTCTAAGGTAAGCACTGGGGCTCGTTTTTTGAAAATACTAGTAATTTTAAGTGTGCCTCTTGCAATTGGCCCCAGTTGCTCCCCTGCCATAAAAGTTTCCATCTCCAGCTTCTGGTGTGAGAGAATTGGCCATGTGTAAGGATGTTGCCCAGGGGACTCCCAGAGGTTTTTGATGTTTTACTGTCCTTGTGAGAGGCTTCTCTCATGTCCCTGCACGGGGAGCTGGAGTTGACAGAGGGAGCTCATCCATGCCCTCCTCGGATTTGAACCTCCACTCTGTTGGTCTTCCGTTCTGCGGGCACATTGCACCACCAAGGGCTCCTTCAGTTCCCAATTTACCTCACAACCTGTGATGATGCTTGCCATAGATGTGAGCAGCAAAACCTTACATCCCCTGAAAAGAAATGAAGCAACTTCCTCTAGGAAGGTGTTTCTGCTTTGAATGACCCCTATAAACCAGAAGGGGAGGCCTGGCCCTTTTGGCTTCCACAAGCAAACGGCATCAACAACAGTAGAGCCAAGAGGTCCCCTCCAAGAGTTTGACTGAGCATTGAGGCCCTGCTTTTCGGAGCAGGGAAGACAACACAAGGCTTCCCTTTCTTCCTTTCATCGGCCATCTTGCAGGAAGAACTGCAAGCTCTGTGGAATAATAATAATAATAATCCTTTATTTATATACTGCTCTATCTCCCGGGGGGGGGGACGGGACGGGACGGGACTCAGAGAGGTTTCCAAGTAACATCATCAATACATACAGAATAAACAACATAACCATAAGATTAACAAAACAATATAAGCATAAAATTGTTGCCATAACACATCTATCTATCTATCTATCTATCTATCTATCTATCTATCTATCTATAATAAAAGTCAGTGTTTGTATGTGGAGGGAGGACGGGAGGGAGGTCCAGCATTCTGATTGGCTGCCACTGTGGTAGAATTTGCTCTGTTCTCTGATTGGCCAGCCTCAAAATTGTTCTCTGATTGGCCAGCCTCAAAACTCCTACATTCTGAGGTGACAGGAGAGGAAAAGACCTGAGGCTGTGTCAGAAAATTACCAATACAGACCAAACTTGGCACACAGAGCCCACAAGACCCACTCTACATTCTACTTCAGTTTGGAGGAGGATGGACCATGGATGATGGGACTTACAGTACCATCACTCACTTTCTGAGACCGCTGTGACCCTCATCCAATGACTGATCAAGACCAAACTTGGCACACAGAGCCCCCATGACTCACTCTACATCCTGGTGCTGTTTAGAGGAGGACAGACCATAGATGATGGGACTTACAGTACCTTCACTCACTTCCTGAGACCACAGCAACACTATTCCAATTACCAATACAGATCAAACTTGGCACACACAGCCCCCATGACCCACTCTACATCCTACTGCAGTTTGGAGGAGGATGGACCATGGATGATGGGACTTGCAGTACCATCACTCACTGCTGTGACCTTCATCCAATGACCGATGAAGACCAAACTTGGTACATAGACCTATAGACATTGGATCTAGACTAAAACTACAGAACAGACAAACAATGCCTATTCCAAATAACCCGGGCAGCGCCGGGTTCCCAAGCTAGTATATATTAAAAGTAATCTTGCATGTTAAAGGCAATTAAAAGGCCGGGCTGAGATTAGTGCAAGCTCAAACATTCAGGGGGGGGGGGGGAATTAAGTGCAATGCTATAACAGGCAACAACAATAATAGGCATGGGTCTATGGCTGTTTATTTCCGGGGCCTATTAGAGGAAGTGACTGGTTAATTGGTAGGAAAAATAAGGCCATATTCAACAATGTCTAGGGCTGAGCTTGGCTTTTGTCTCCCGTCCAGCTCTACCGCCGGCTCTCAGAGGTTCTTGGGCTGAACGATGAGACCATGGTCCTGAGTGTCTTCATTGGGAAAATGTAAGTGCCCTTGCTTTCTGTGGGGTGCTTGAAAGGGGTTTCCAAAGAGGCAGCAGGTCAGGGCTCCCCAGTTGGAGGATGTAGGTCCTGGGCCTCATCTTGCAAGTCCATTGGGCTTTGGAGATGTGCCCAACTCTGTGTCTCCATTCCTCAGCACACGTCTTGGTCCAAAGCCACAGGATCCCCTGGCCCTGCTGCAGGAGGCTTTGGACTGGAATTGTTTGGGGAGCCAAATAGTGATTTGTCTTATGGACAGAATTGTATCATCAGCAGTTTCATGCTGATATTTTCTAACCTGGGGAAAAGCAAAGATGGGTGAGGAGAAGAGACATTTGCTCTATTTTATGTGTTCCATTTCCTTACTTCCGTGCATTGTCCCTCTCTTTCTCTTTTTGTAGCATCACCAACTTGAAATACTGGGGGCGGTGTGAGCCAATCACCTCCAAGACACTACAGCTTCTCAATGACCTCTCCATTGGATATCCTTTTTGGCAGAGCTTTCCTGGGTTTGGGCAGTCACAGCAGGGCAGCACCAAGCCCTCCTTATTCTCTTATGGGTCCATCAAGTGTCCTTCAGCATCCACTGCCCTATGAAGCCTTGATAACTTTGTATTGTTGTAATTGGCTCTATATACCTCAGACAAATGAGATAGTGGAAAGCTTCAGTGGGCAAAAGTGCAAAGAGGGTGATAAAGTAAGCTGTTAATCACAATGATGAAAATGTACGCAGAACATTGAGATGAATCAAAAGTAGGAGGATAAAATTAGTTGAGGATTTGTACATAGAAGATGGAAATCCTGTAGAGCACTGTTTCTCAACCTTCCTAATGCCTCGACCCCCGAATACAGTTCCTCATGTGGGGACCTCCAACCATAACATTACTTTTGTTGCTGTTATAAATTGTTATGTCAAATCAATAGCGTGTGCACAAATGATTTTAGTGAGGGGATGGAAAGATAAAACAAAGTGGAATCTGACAAATTGGTATAATTGTTTAGTAAATATGTTAAATGTGAAAATAACAAATTGAAACCTGAACAATATAGACAAAAAAAATTTTTTGTCGTGTCAGGAGCGACTTGAGAAAACTGCAAGTCGCTTCTGGTGTGAGAGAATTGGCCGTCTGCAAGGACGTTGCCCAGGGGACGCCCGGATGATTTTGATGTTTTATCATCCTTGTGGGAGGCTTCTCTCATGTCCCCGCATGAGGAGCTGGAGCTGATAGAGGGAGCTCATCCGCCTCCCCCCGGATTCGAACCTGCGACCTGTCGGTCTTCAGTCCTGCCGGCACAGGGGTTTAACCCACTGCGCCACCGGGGGCTCCAAAATATAGACAAAATATAAAATGTTATAATAATTATGTGGGCTCCAGTTAGGAATTATTTACAGAATGTATTAAAATGTGGAGTGGAAAAAATTGAGATCAAGACTGATATTACAAATGTAATTTCTGTAGTTTATTTTATGTAAATTGTATGTCCAGGGGAAGGAGTGGATGGTGGGAGTGGAGTAAAACACCTTTAATTTTTTTAAAAGATAAAGCAAGCTGTTTAGCAGTAAATACAGACCTTGACCAGGGGAAAGGGCTAACCATACCAACCCTGGGCCAGGTAACTGGAAAGTATTGCCAGCAAAGACTCCTTGCTACAATCTTGCTCAAAAAGCACCAAAAATTGCTTAGGATAGCCCACTCATTGATTGCGCTGTCAGTGATGGCATAACAGCAGATGCTGCAACTAGTGTGTGGATGGAGAGTTGCGCTGAATCCCATCTTCTGGCAAGAGATATGGAGGAGGGGATCCACACTGGACAGGCCAGTGTCCCGGATGTGGGCCCTCAGCTCTTCCAAATGGCATGGGGATTTCTTTGTAAAGAGCCCATTGTTTGTCCCATTGCCACTTTGTACCGCTTTGGTTTTATTACTAGACTGGGGACTGATGGGGTTGCCTTGTGCTTTCCTTAACATAGCTTCTACCTACAGCAGCGTGAGGAAACTGGTGAAACTGAGCGCTGTGCAGTTCATGCTGAACAATCACACCGTAAGTTGCAAACCTCCTCCTGTGATTCTCCAAGGGATTGGTCCCGGCGCATTTGCATTAGCGCATGAGGGGCGACTTCTGCGTGGTCTGGTCTGGCTGGCTGTGAAGGAGATGAGGACAGATGTCACTGAGGGGATACCTCTGTTTTAGTCATTACAATTCCACGCTGGGCTTCTTTCTCATGCAGATAAACAGCTTCGCTCTCACAGTGCCTCCTCTCACACCAAAGTTACACAGGAATGTCACACAATAGGTTTTTTTACACACAGCAGCTTTCACACTAAAGGTTCACACATGAGCTTTACACACAAGACCTTCTACCTGGGGCTTCTCATACCAAGCCTTCTCATACTGAGGCCTACTAACACTGAGGCCTTTTTCCTTCTTAGGGCTCTCTCAGACTGACACCTTTCTCCCTCTGAGGTGGGAGAGAGAACTAACACTGAGGCCTTCTAACGTACAGGCACACCTGCTTATATTGAACTGCAGCTTTTGCTGAGTCATTGTGTCCACTTAACTCTTTCAGTGCTTGACTCATATTTGTAATTAAAAATTTATGTATTTATTTACAGTATTTATATTCTCACTCCGCAGGGACTCAGGGCGGATTACAATGTACACATATATGGCAAACATTCAGTGCCAAAGACACACAACAGATGTAGACAGACAGACAGAGGCTATTTAACTTTTCTGACCACCAGGGGAGCTGTCGCTTTCATCGTCCATCTGTGACACCGATGAAGTACTTCTGCATTCCCCGCATGCTTTGCTGGAGTCTTTTTTATGGCCTCGTAAATTAGTTAAATTAGCCTCCCCACACATAGGTGGTACCTAATTTTCCTACTTGACAGATGCAACTGTCTTTCGGGTTGCAAAGGTCGACAACAAGCTACACAATTGGTCGGAAGCTCACTCCGACCCGGGCTGGCTTCGAACTCATGACCTTTTGGTCAGAAGTGATCTTAATGCAGCTGACACTCAGCCAGCTGCGCTACATTCCCAGTGCTAGATAATACCTAGATAATTTGTATATTCTGACAAGGAAGGCATGGATAGGCTATGAATAGGTTTTAGGTCTATGAACGGTTTAAACACTTTGTTTTTAATACTATTCATGTTTAACTCAATTTTGACGTGTATATTTTTAGGTTTTCCATTATATTGTATTGATTTTATTTTAAGTCACTTAAAATAAGTCTCTTGCTTAGAGAGAAAAAGCAGGATACTACTACTAATAGTAATAATGGACCATAGTTACATTTCTTTCACCTGTTGCTCCTCCTTAACACGGCTTTCCTCCTTTGCAGAGTGAGCACTTTTCTTTCTTGGGCATCAACAATCAGTCCAACCTGAGCGACATGAGATGCCGGACAACCTTCTACACGTCTCTTGGGCGCCTCCTCATGGTGGATCTTGGTACTGTAACCTCTTCTGATTGCCCCTTGAGCTAAGCCCTCTTCTGATTGGCCCTTGAGCTAGGCCCAAGCCGGGTGGGGGAATCATTAGTACACTAGAGGGAAGTCTGTTAGTGTAAGATCTGTCCATGTGGCCTTACATCCTTGTCAGTGTCGTAATCAAAGGCCCCGTCAGGTGAGTCTGGGGCCAGGAGCCAGGCCTTGTGTCTGTTTGTAAAGCACTGGAGAAGATAACGTCCTTCCACCTCTCTTCCAGGGGAGGATGAAGACCAGTACGAGCAGTTCATGCTGCCCCTGACAGCCGCTTTTGAGACCGTGGCCCAGATGTTCAGCACCAACACTTTCAATGAGCAGGAGGCCAAAGTAAGGAGCAATACCTCTTTCCCACACACGCATTCGTATGTCTTCAATCCATCTCCTTGAAGGCATAGTTTTAGAGGCCCCTCCCCCCCCCCCACACACACACACACACACACTTTTGCATTTTGTAGTCTTGGAGGGTTCATGTCCCTCAACCCAAAGACCAGGGATTAATAGCATAGACTCTGTGGACTTGAGCATCCATCCTTAGAAGCACCTTCCCTCCCTCTTGGCTAGGGTAGTGGGTCAATTGGGAGAGTGGGTCCTTCAGCATCTGAATGAGAAGGAAGCCTTTCCTAAGACTGACTCATTATTATTATTATTATTATTATTATTATTATTTATTTATTTATTATGTGTGGTGATCGGCACACTGGGTGCAGTGCCTAAAGACCTTGGCCTGCACTTAAACACAATCGGCGCTGACAAGATTACCATCTGCTAGCTGCAGAAGGCCACCTTTCTGGGATCTGCACACATTATTCGCCAATACATCACACAGTCCTAGAAACTTGGGAAGTGTCCTAGAAACTTGGGAAGTGTGATCCAATACAACAGCCAGCAGAGTGATCTTGTCTGCTGTGGACTCAACTTGCGTTGAATAAGAAGAAGAGGATGGAGAAGAATGGTGGGATCATAAACCCGCAAAGTTCGTGGAAAATGAACACGCATAAATACTGTGGGACTTTCGAATCCAGACTGACAACGTTTTGGAACACAATACACCAGACATCACGATTGTGAAAAAGAAAAAAGTCTGGGTTATTGATGTTGCCATTCCAGGTGACAGTCGCATTGAGGAAAAACAACAGGAAAAACTCAGCCGCTATCAAGACCTCAAAATTGAACTGCAAAGGCTCTGTCATCAACCAGTATATTACAGGATGTGCATATGTATGCTAATTTTTACAAGGATCATTGCCTGTATGGGTGCGTGTTGAGGAAGAACACCTGGACAATTAAGCAATTCAGCTTGAGCCACTCCCTGCATGGAATATATCATGAGGAGTGCTTCATGGTGCATTTAGAGAGATGGTGATCAGATGATCAGGAAGAGACCGGATGGGACTTCTATACTACAGGACTTGCTGAAGATCCTGAACAATTTACTACAAGACTCCTTGCACCAATGAAGAAGCAGAGAATGCATGATTTTAATGCATTGGACTTTTGTGTGAGTTATTTTGCTGCAATAGACTGAGTTTATTTTTCAAGGCTGGTTATTTTGTGGGGCTGCATATTTGTCTCTGACTACTTAAGAGTAAATTTTGTTTTTTCCTTTTACTCTGACTCTGTGTGATTCAACTAGAGGGCTGGGGATGGGAAGACTGCTGGGTAGCTTTCGCATAGACTGATAAACCGCAACAGGTTATGGGCCCAGTCTGACCAGCTTGCCCAGTTGAATTTTTTTTTTCAGTTCCAGTTTCTGAAGACATTTTGTTTTGCATTGTGTGTTTTTGGCAAAACAAGAAGATGGATACTGGAATGAATTTTGCTTTCCCTATGGCCAGGTTAAATGACAATAACTTCCATTTGGAAAGTCAGAATGGAAAGTTATTTGAGGAGAGAATCCTTGTGGGAATGTACAGAACCCAGTGCAGCAGCCAGCTACAGCAGAGCAGCTGAGAGCTCTGGAAAGAGTCTACTCTGATGTTAGGAGTTGACGATGACCAATTGGTTCATATAAGCAGCCTGCCAACTCCCAATGCAATTTGGGTGAGACTCAGAGAAATCTATGCATCCAGTTTGGCATCAACAGTGGTGTGCTGTGCCAAAAGATCTCAGCCAGAATTTGGAAGCAATAAACATCGACAAAATCACGATCTGTCAACTGCAAAAGGCCACTTTACTTGTAATACTGTCTTCCCTTCAGCCTTCAAATTTTTCTTTCAAGTTCTTTCTTTCAGCACACACAGTCTGGACATTGAGACTTGGTACTTAGACTGGGCCCATAACGCTTTTTTTAGGGAAAACTCACCTAAAATAAAGCAGAGCATCCAAAAACAAACAGGATACAAAAGTTGAGCATCAGCTCATTAGTGAGCAGAGCATGAAGTGTTGTGTGATCTGGCTGCAAAGAATTCAGAGCTTAGGAGGCCAACATGCAGAGTCCAATCTCTAAAAAATCACAAAATGTTTATTTACAATAATAAGAAATAACTGCATTTCTTAATCAAGAACTGGGTCTGAGCTACTCTAACACCCATCTCTTCTAAGGTTTAAAAGAGAGGAAAACTCAGTCACTCCATCTCTCCTGACACACAGAGAGATCTCAAACCACACAGCACATACACTCCATACTAAAGTTTAGGTAGGCAGAAGTCAGATTTTAAAAAGGCTTGCAGTAGAAAAGTATCCGTTCTAAACTAGTCAGAATGAGAGTAGGAACAGAGAGAAGAGAAAAAAATAAATACGTTCCAACTGTCATTCAGGAGACATGGGAGAAGGGAAACCCTTAGTCTATACTAAACTAACTAAATAGTTCCTTATTAAGGACATGGGACTTAGGTAGTGTGGAGTGTGGGTTTAAATTCCAACATACACACCCCAAAGACTGGGTTGCATCGTCTCAGGGGGAAGTGGCGTAGTTTGCCCCCGTCCTCTGATTCTCCTGCATCTCTCTTTCCCACAGAGAACCTTGGTGGGCCTCGTGAGGGACCTAAGGGGCATCGCCTTTGCCTTCAACGCCAAGACCAGCTTCATGATGCTCTTCGAATGGATGTATCCTTAACCCTGTGTGGATGTGCCCCTTTACTCAAAGCAGTGGGTCTCCTTTCTCTTTTGAGTGTCTTCCCAGAAAACATGGGCTGTGTGAAGAAGCAATTCACCCTGCCACCATAGTCCCTCCCCTGATTCAGTCCTTCAGGGCAGGATGAGGAAGAAGCCCCTGCTTAAGCAGTTTTGTTTATAACCAGAATAGCCATCAGTGGCACAGAAAACCGACTCTAAACCCCAGAGCAGCTGGCGAGCCTGCTTTGAGGATAGGACTCACTTACACCTTAGACCAGGGGGTCTTCAAACTACGTCCCGGGGGCCAGATACGGCCCTCCAAGGTCATTTATCCGGCCCTCGCTCGGGGTCAACCTAAGTCTGTAAGCACACAACAACAACAATCGTATCTCATCAGCCAAAAGCAGGTCCACACTTCCCATTGAAATACTAATAAGTTTATATTTGGTTAAATTGCTTTTCATTTTAATTATTGTATTGTTTTAAAGTGTTTTTTGCACTACAAATAAGATATGTGCAGTGTGCATAGGAATTTATGCATTTTTTTCAAATTATTATTCAGCCTTCCAACAGTTTGAGGGACTGTGACCTCTGTTTAAAAGGTTTGAGGACCCCTGCCTTAGACAGTGTTGGGTGATTGGGTTTATTAACAAAAACCCCTCCTCATAAATGAATAGCAGGGTAATTTGTTAGCAGGAGCATGACCCAGCACCAGTAGCCCAAAGTGACAAAAAGAACAAAAACACACAGACCAATGTGATCTCTTCCATCGGAGGTTTTTCTTTGTAGTAAAATAATATGGTTGCACTATTTACAAGAATAAGGTTTCCATAACACAAGTAAAATTCATCCTTCACACTGGAGCTTCACACATGAGGCCTTCTCTTAACGAGGCCTGCCTCACACTCTGAGGCCTTTCTCCCACAGTGAGGCCTACTACCACTGAGACCTATTCTCCCACTGAGGTGTCCTCTCACACAGAGAGACTTCTCTCACACTGAGAGCTCTCTCAGAATGAGGCGTTAGTAAGCAACAGGCACACCTGCTTGTGTAGAACTTCAGTTTTTGCTGAGTCATTACATCCATTTAACCCTTTCAGTGCTTGGCATTTTTGTAATTAAAAATACCTCGTTAATTTTAATACTTCTGACAGATAGTTCCTTCAAAGTTCAGAATAATAATAATAATAATAATAATAATAATAATAATAATATTAACAACAACAACAATCTTTATTTATACCCCGCCACCATCTCCCCAATGGGGACTCGGAGCGGCTTACATGAGGCCAAGCCCAAACAGAAAATTACAATAAAATAAAACCGAAAACGTAAACAATAAACAACAAACAACATAATTACATAAAACATATGAAAACATAGCAATATAAAATTACAATAGGCACAATCACAATGACAATGGGCGGGCTACATGTAATGTTTAAAAGAGAGACTGATTAAAACGAATTAAAACTCGGGCGAGATAAGAGAGAGACAGATTATTTGCGCGGGAGGACTCATTATAGTGAGGATTGTGGAATCAGGCTTTCCCACAAAGGGGGGGCCTGCGTTTTGTCCAGTGACAAAACGCTGAGGTTAAGCAGTAGTGTGGGAATGTAAACCTATTCATCAAAAGCGCAGCGGAAGAGCCAGGTTTTAAGGTCCTTTTTAAAGGTTTCTAAGGTAGGGGCTTTCCTAATTTCTCCAGGTAGTGAGTTCCAGAGTCGGGGGGCCACAGAGGAAAAAGCTCTCTCCCTTGTACTTACTAGGCAAGCTTGTGAAATTGGCAGGGGCGAAAGAAGGGCCTCCCCAAAATGAGCCCAAGATGGATTTGCTGTCCCAAGGACATGGAAGTCTCCACAGATTGGGAGCCCACTAGAAAGCTTCTTGAAGAGAGCCAGTAGAACCCTTGTCCTCATCTGGGTGACATCTGCCAGGAGGGCTTTGATTGTGCTTTTCCTGCCTAGCAGAATGGGGTTGCATTGAATGACCTCTGGGGTCTCTTCCGTCCCTAGGATTCTATGATTCAGGCTAATGGTCTGCAACTTGAGCTGCAGATAGTAGGCTCCAGGGAGTAGTTTTGGGTGACCGTTCTGGGCCATTCCTGCCTTGAGCAGAGCTGGCAGAAGGACGCAGCCCTGGTGGACAGAGGAGGGTGTTTAGCAGGACCCTGGCATCAACGTGTGACTCCTTAGCCTCTGCCCCGCAGCTACCCTTCCTACATGCCCATCCTGCAGCGAGCGGTGGAGCTCTGGTACCACGACCCAGCCTGCACCACCCCAGTGCTCAAGCTGATGGCCGAACTGGTACACAACCGGTAGGAAGGAGGGATTGTGGAGGGCTGGTTTGTGGGCAGGGGGGAAGCATCCGCTCCTGTATCTAAAGCAGACACGTAGATCCAAATGCAAAGTGTTGTCACTATTATTACACCGAATATTATGTACTGACAGCAGCTGCTAAAAGACGGTTCCTTCAGAGACATTCATATTAAACTAGCAGTTTATATCAGTATTGATAGAAAAGGTGTCATGAGAATACAGAACTCTGGTTTTTACTAGACTTAAAATAAACTGTGAAAAGGGGAAAAATTTAATTCTTAATGTAACACAAATGTAAACACTCTGTATAAGCTACAGATATCACCTTTTAGTTTCTATGGTTTCTGATATTTGGGTATTCTCATAATGAGTCTATCATAGCTATCACTAAGGTAAAGGTTTCTCCTGACATTAAGTGTAGTGGTGTCTGACTCTGGGTGGTGGTGCTCATCTCCATTTCTAAGCCAAAGAATCGGTGTTGTCCGTAGACACCTTCAAGGTTATGTGGCCATTGGCATGACTACATGGAGCACCGTTACCTTCCGGAAAAAGCGGTACCTATTGATCTACTCACATTTGCATGTTTTCAAACTGCTAGGTTGGCAGGAGCTGGGCCTAACACCAGGAGCTCACCTCACTCCCCAGATTAGAAACGCTAACCTTTCAGTCAGGAAGTTCAGCAGCTCAGAGGTTTAATCTGCTGTGCCCCCATTGTTATATAATTATAATAATAATTCTTTATAGCTATTCCGTTCTGTCTCCCAAAGGGGACTCAGGGTGGATCACAGTACACATAACGGCAAGCATTCAATGCCATTTGGATAGACAGACAGAAAGGAGATATGTTTTTGGCGCCTTGGAGGTCATGCTCGAATCCAGCCACAGGGGGGTGCTGTCCCTCCTCTATGATGAAAAGCCATCAAGACTTCCTCCTTCCTTTTGGTCTCTGGGCATTTTCTGATATTTTTATTTTTATGGTGTTGTAAAATACCTCCACCACTTTTTTAGCGGTACCCAAGTTCTCTACCTACAGCTCTAAGCTGTTTTCGAACTGCTTAGGTCAACAGTGAGCTGGGCTGACTGTCGGGTGCTCATGCCAACGTGGGGCTTTGAACTGTCAACCTTTTGGTTGGTATTATTTATTTATTTATTTATTTAAACCTTTTATATCCCGATCTCTACCTCCGTAGAGGGACTCAGACCGGCTGACAGCAAGAATTCAATGCTAACAGTAAAAATCTAAAACATCATATATCAACAGATCTTACCTCTGCTGGTGATTTACCAGCTGTGCTAAAGCCCATATATTATATAATTTCTATCATAAAGAAATTATAAAGAAGTTTTCAGAAGTAATAGCTAAAAGGAAATGGTCTGTGTTTCTTTCTTTTATTCCCCCATTAGATAGGCTCGCTATAGTAAAAGCCAACATCTAGCAACACTTCTTTCTCTTTCACTCATTACCAGGACACATAGAAAAACATGAGCCATTGTAGACTATACTTGTAAATTTTATAGTAGATTTATTAATGTTAACAATGTACAATCTGATATCATTAAGGAGTGTAGCTATATCTAACTCTTAAGATATTGTATAACACAATTCAATTGATTCAAGTGGCTAACAAAAAAGAAAGAGGAGAAGAAGGAGTAAGCAAATGGCCAAGCAAGGCAGTGATTCTCTTATTGTTGATAATCTCTGTTATTATCTTCAACTGAATTATGGTGATCATGATGTAATTTATTAGTGCCATTTTTGCACTTGTTTATCACCGTCACTAGATGTTTTCTTAAAACATTTTATTGATGGGTTGCTGTGAGTTTTCCAGACTATCTGATCATGTTCGAGAAGCATTCTCTCCTAATGTTTCGCCCACATCTATGGCAGGCACCCTCAGAGGTTGTGAGGTATATTGGAAATTAGACAAGTGAGGTTTATATATCTGTGGAAGGTCCAGGATGGGAGATTGGGCTCTTGTCTGTTGGAGGAAAGTGCGAATGTTGTAATTTATCACCTTGATCACTGTTCTACAAATTTTCAGTTTTTCTCAGTTACGGAAACAAAATGTGCCGTTTCTTAATAAATTTAACATGCTGAATTCAAATATAATAATTAAATGTGTTAATTGGCTCTGATTTTTATGCAACAGCTATTTCAATTTTCTCCACAATAGGTAATTCGGTAATATTATGACAATGTGCCTAACCTTACTGCATGTATATAAACCGTGAATATTTACTAAATTTTAGTCAAATTATATTGCCAATAGTTTATACATGAGAAATATTTATTTAATCAGTCTATTGTTTATGTTTGTGCAGCAAGAAACTATATTAGTAGGCCTAATGCAGTTGAAAAGTCTGAAAGTTTAAATGTCGCTTTAATCGTAACTTTAGTTTATATCCTGTTTGCTTCTCTTGAGTTTTCTTTTGTATTCAAGGAAAGGATTGTCTCTTACAATGCTCCAGCAGGAGTCTGACAGCATTGACGGAGTCCATTTGCCTTGATATCTTTTTTCCATAGTGCTTTATTTACACACGTGTGAGGCATAACTACAGTAAAAAGAACAATGTAAAACGATGTTTAACGATACTGTCTCAGTCTTCAACTGACTGACCCTCACCGTTCAAAAGTCTGGCCTTATATAGGGCTTTCTGGCTTTTGCACACAGCACTAATACTGCGTCATCAAACTTTCTAGAGTATTCTAGAATCTTCCATAGTGTAAGTCGCAACATGCATTTTTTCAACCATACGTGATCACGTGATTGCTTATATCATAAAAACTAGAGCCAATATACATTTTTAAATGTCATTTTTGTTTTCAGCACCCCAAAATCATAAAAGAACAGCTATTTTCAGGCCCGAAACCTTTTCTCCGTTGAACAGTGTTATCATTGAATAGCCTTGCAGCCTCAAAGCCTAGCTGCTTCCTGCCTGGGGGAATTCTTTGTTGGGCAGTATTAGCTGGACCTGATTGTTTCATGTCTGGAATTCCCCTGTTTTGAGAGTGCTCCTCTTTATTTACTGTCCAGATTTTAGAGGGTTTTTTTTAACACTGTTGACTATATTTTGTTCATTTTCATGGTTTTTACCAGTATTAAAAAAACTCTAAAATCAAGACAGTATTTATTTATTTATATTTATAGTATCAGGAGCAACCAGACATATTGTATTACATTTTTAACAAAACAAACAAACAAACAAACAGGCAAAACACAAAGTTTTGACAGTAAATAAAGCACAGCACTCTGAAATTCCAGGCATGAAATAATCAGGGCCAGCTAAGTAGTGGTTCTAAACCTGTGGGTCCCAAGGGGTTTTGACCTACAACTCCCATAAATCCCAGCCAGTTTACCAGCTGTTAGGATTTATTGGAGTTGAAGGCCAAAACATCTGGGGACCCACAGGTTTGAGCACCACTGAGCTAACACCTCCCAACAAAGGATTCCCCCAGGCAGGAAGTAGCCAGGCTATTCAATGCTGCAAGGCTATTCAATGCTAATCAAGATTGTCAATTGCAATATTCACACTTGCCTCCAACAGTCAAGAGTTCTATCTCCCAACCTGGCCATTACACAGTTATATAAACCTCACTTGCCTAGTTTCCAATATACCTTACAACCTCTGAGGATGCCTGACATAGATATGGGTGAAACGTCAGGAGAGAATGATTCTGGAACATGGCCAGACAGCCCAGAAAACTCACAGCAACCCAGTAATTCTGGCCATGAAAGCCTTTGAAAACACATTTTATTTATGATCTGCTGTGTGGCATACAAGGCAGTGCTAAAGTAAGAATACTTGTATTGAAAGGCCTGGTGCCTCAAAGAGAGCACAGGCAGCCTGGCTTCCTGGAAGGAGTCCTGCAGGAGGAGTGCCATCTCCATGTAGCCATAGGATTCCCACCCTGGCTGCCATGTCGGGCTGCCCCTGAGTCCCCAAACCCCAGAGTTTCCGCCTCATCAACTCCTTGGTTGCTTTCAGGTCCCAGAGGCTGCAGTTTGACGTCTCCTCCCCCAATGGCATCCTGCTCTTTCGGGAAACCAGCAAAATGATCACGACCTACGGTGGGTATATGCCACTGCTGTGAATATGTAGGCTCAAGGGGAGAAAAAAGCAGGGAGTGTCACAATATAGGGCCACGTCACATTCATTTGGTGTTGTAGTGTATGTTGGGTGAGTGGGCACAAGAACCTCCCCATAAATGCACAGCAGAGAAACTTATCAGAAGCAGGTGACCCAGCACCAGTAGCCAAAAGTGATAAAAAGGACAAAAACACATAGACCAATGCTATCTCTTCCTTAGGAGGCTTTTTTTTTTTAGTAAAATAATATGGGTAAACTATTTACAATAACATGGTTTCCTTAACACAAATATAGTTCAACCTTCATACTGGAGCTTCACACATGAGGCTGCCTCATAATGAGGCCTACCTCACATTCTGAGGCCTACTACCACTGAAACCATTTCTCCCACTGAGGTGTTCTCACACAGAATGATTTTCATTGCTACTTCACTGTAATTTTGCTATTGTTGTGAATCATAATGTAAATCTCTGATATGCAGGATGTATTTTCATTCACTGGACCAAATTTGGCACAAATACCCGATATGCCCAAATTTGAATACTGCTGGGGTTGGGGGGAATTGATTTTGTCATTTGGGAGTTGTAGTTGCTGGGATTTAGAGTTAACCTACAATCAAAGAGCAATCTGAACACTACCAAGGATGGAATTGAATCATACTTGGCACACAGAACTCCCATGACCAAGAGAAAATACTGGAAAGGTTTGGCGGGCATTGAACCTTGAATTTCGGAGTTGTAGTTCACCTACATCCAGAGAGCACTGTGGACTCAAGCAATGATGGATCTGGACCAAACTTGACACAAATACTCAATATGTCCAAATGTGAATACTGGTGGAGTTTGGGGGAAATCGACCTTGACATTTAAGAGTTGTAGTTTTTGGGATTTGTAGTTCACCTACAATCCAGGAGCATTCTGAATTCCACCTAGGATAGAATTGAATCAAACTTGGCACACAGAACTCCCATGATCAAGAGAAAATACTGGAAGGGTTTGGTGGGCACTGACCTTGAGTTTGGGAGTTGTAGTTCACCTACATCGAGAGAGCACTGTGGACTCAAGCAATGATGGATGAGGACCAAACTTGGCATGAATACTCAATATGCCCAAATGTGAATATTATTGGAGTTTGGGGAAAATCGACTCTGGCATTTAAGAGTTGTAGTTTCTGGGATTTGTAGTTCACCTACAATCCAGGAGCATTCTGAACTCCATCATTGATAGATCTGGGCCACACTTCACACAGAACCCTCATGCCTTGAAGGGACTCGGTGCGAGCCTCCCTCCAGCCTCACTGTCCCTCACCTGCACACGTGCACCACTCTGCCATGCGCTGAGCACTCCTGCTCTCCACTCCCCACTCGGAATCTCAGAAACAGTCTCCCCCCCCCCCCCCC